CGGCCTGTGCGGTGCTTGCGGTGCCCGCGGTGCCCGAGGCCTCGGTATGGCTCCCCGGTGCCGGGGGGCGGTCTGCTGGGCTGGGCGGCCTCGCTGAGGCGCGGGGCTTGGGGGGTGCGGCGGGGCCCGGGACGCGGTGTTGCTGCAGGCCCGGCGCGGCAAGCGGCAGCGGTTGTCCCCAAGGTGACGGCTGGCCCCGGCCGCCTTCGCCGCGCCACCCTGCCCCTCAGCGACCCGGGGGCTCCGCGGGGTGTATGGTGAGGCCAGGGGTGGCCTCACGGCTCTGCCCGGGGGCTCCGTGCGCTCCGTCCGGGCTTGGCTCTCACGTTGAGTTACCGAGGGGAGGCAGCTGGTGTATAACACCTGATCCTTGCCTGTCGGAAGGGTTGAGAGGTTTTTAACACCCGCGTTGCCCCTCGTTAAGTACTTTTCCACCTTTGCCTTGTAGCTTGAGAAGTTTGTCTGTTTTGGTTTTTTCCCTCCTGAAAAGCTGGTACCTCCCGGTGCTTTGTGGGACCTGCTGCCTTGTAGTCACTGTCGGTGTTTCAGAACCAGGTGGTGGTGAAATGCAGCAGACCTGAACGCAGGGAGTGTGAAATGGCAGCAAGGGTTGCGTGGTTTGCTGCCCTTGGGTGTTTTCTGTCACTGCTTGGGAATTTGTAGTAATAGCTACTTAAAGAACAAGGGGGAATGGCTTGAACCTGCCCGAGGGGAGACTGAGCTGAGCTCTTAGGCAGAAGCTCTTCCCTGTGAGGGTGCTGAGGCGCTGGCACAGGGTGCCCAGAGAAGCTGTGGCTGCCCCATCCCTGGCAGTGCTCAAGGCCAGGTTGGACACAGGGGCTTGGAGCAAGCTGCTCCAGTGGAAGGGGTCCCTGCCTGTGGCAGGGGTTGGAGCTGGAGGAGCTCTAAGGTCCCTGCCAACACAACCAGTCTGTGGTGGTAGAATCTGAGCACAAAGTTTCCAGGTCTCTTGTAATGCTGTGTTTGCAGCAGTTTGGGGATTTATAGCAATGAGAATCTAGCACAATTGGGATAGCGATGATTTCACTTGAGTAGGGGGAGTAAAGTAGCTTTTTTATTGCAGAATGTGTGATTATGTTGAAATAAAACATGCAGAAGTTCGGAAGCCTTAGTTCTGTTAAAAACCCTCAAACTAACTCAGGGACAGGATAGTTATACAATAATACACACCTCAAGAGGAGGAAGAACTTTCCATCGAGGGTGTCAGAGCACTGGGAGAGGCTGCTGGGGGGTTGTGGAGTCTCCCTCTCTGGAGACATTCAAAACCCACTTGAATTTGTTCCTGTGTAACCTTCTCTGGGTGGCCCTACCTTGGCAGGGGTTGCACTGGATGATCTCCAACCCTAACGATGCTGGATTCTGTGATTTGATGTAAATTCCAGAGGGGGGCAGGTGGTTCTGTGTTGTTAGGAGAGGTAGACGTGATCTTCAAATAGAACATGTGGTTCCTGCCTTCCTCAGGTGAAGAGATAGTTGCTTGCTTTTGCCTCCTTCCATATTTCGATCAAGTGGGCAGTCAAGATAGGTATTTTAAACAGTGAAGAGCTGTGTGGCCAAGTCCTAGTGCTGCACTTGAGTTTAGGTACTTTAGGTGCCGGTTGTGTGATTTCTGTACCCAACTTTTCCCCTTAGTACAAAGTTTAACTTGGAAAGCAGGGAAGGATTCCCATCCTGAGGGCAGCATCTTACCTGGGAACCCCACATGCTTTCCCACACTGAGGTTCAGCTGGCAAGTCAGGATGTGTGTGAGGTAGGAGGGAGCTGGCACAACATCCTGTGGCCATGGCCAGCATCCCAGCTAAGCCTGGCCTAGGCCACTTGCCCTTCTTAATCCCAGCTTTATTCACACCCCTCCTCCGTGCCGGAGTTTGCAGTGGCCTCATGGCTCCACACGAGTTCCCAGTCATAGACCAATTTTTCCTGTTCGTGCTCAGATTCCAAGCCTTGGAATGCTTAATGGTGTGGCATTTTGTGCAAAGGTGATTAAATGCTCTTAAGGTGTTTATTAAATTCACTTTAACCTGTTTAATCTTCACTTGCCTCTGCTTGAGGCTGAGGTAAATAAAGCTGCTGCGGTGCTTTTCATGAGTGATCTGGTCTGGCTAGTGTTCAGTTCAGTGGTCCCGATTCATGGCATTTATGATGTAATATCTCCTGAGGCTTTCCTCAAGCTATGGATTACACACCACCTTTTTCCCATCCTCCATGAAAAAGGGGTCCTGGAATGTGTCAATATTTCTGTTTAAATGCTTGTTGGCTTTGTAAGTGTGGTTGTGTTGGTGAAGCTGACTCTGCACAGAAGCCAGGCTTTTGGCTCCCGACACCAAACTGTTGCAGTAAGCAGGTTTGTCCTTCCACTCCTGCCCTCCAACCAAAAAAAAAAGGATTGGAGAGAATATGAACAGCAGTTGAGGAGTTTCAGACTCCTCCACAGCTGAGGACTGGGAATTTTTTATGGCAGTTTTCCACTGAGAACTTGCTGCTTGTTGGGAGTTACAAAGAAATACTTTAATTTCATAGATTGTAATCTAGAGCAGTTTTTTAACTAGGCTGGGAATTAGAAGCGTTTCTGCCAGTAGAGAGGAGGAATTAAATCAGCTTTCCAGGTCACTTTCACATGTTTGCTGCTTTGTTTTAAAGAAGTATCCCCCCTGCCAAGTGCTCTGAGTTGCAGCTGCAAGGACAGAAAAGTTTGTGGTTTCTTCTTTTTAGACAAGAGGTTTGGGAGAATTCTTCTTTCACTTCCCCCTTTACAGTGTTGCTTCAAGTTGTGGATTAGTGAGACCTTCTATATGCTTGAGGAGGGAGGGTGTTAGGAATGCTGATCTTTAACAGTCTTACTGTACAGAGAAGATTCACACAGGGAGTCTGGACCCAGGGCTCAAGGAGCTTCCTTCCAGCTCTCTTGATTTCCAATCAGACATTAGGTCAGAGAGAAGACAGAACTTTCTGCTCTTTGAACTAAACCGCACTATTTTCTCCTTTCTTTTTTGCGGTCTGCATCTGGTGCAAGGACCCCTGTACCCAAAAGGAAGCTCCCTGTCCCTGCAGACCTGCCCCTCCACACTTGGCTGAAGGTCATCTGAAAGGCAGCATTGGCCACAGCAGCACTTGGTGAGGTTCAGCTGGACCAGGCTGCTGCTGTGACCTTCTCCAGAGTCTGCCAGGAAATCCCTGGGAGTCCTGGCAGCTTTTTCTTGGGGAAAGATGAAAAAGATTCAGTCCAGTCTGTTGCTTTTCTCTTGCAAATCTGATCTTGGTTAATCTGCTCCATTGTCTTTTGTTTCAGTCTAATTTTCTGGACATGTTCCAAATCAAATCCCTGGGACTCCAGACCAGTGATTTCTTCAGTAACTTTTTTTCAGCTGAGAGCTGGAATCTGCTAATGCCGGGAATAATGGGACTAGTTATTGTAAATGAATTAAACTCCTATTTTGCTACTCTGGAAATTAACTTTCTAAAGCCTTCCATCTGTTGGTCCTGGAATTAGACTTCTCTAGTTTAGAAGCTAATCTGGAAGTGGAAGGCTGGGATGAAATACATCCTTTTTTTCCTTCCTTCTCTGTTTCTACAATCTTTAATGTCATCTTCCCAGCATAATTTTTCCCAGCATCTTTTCTTTACTGTGTCTCACCAGTTCATACTTGCCAGGGCCCTGTTGATTCCTGTGCCTGCTGGCTGGAGCAATTGCTTTTCTTTTTGCTCTTTTCACCTTGTACATATATAGTGTTAGAAAGTGCCACAGTTGTACCACAGATGTGAATGTCATTTATAACCAGTTTAAAAAATTGTACCTGTATATAATCTGTTCAATATAATCTATAAACATACATAATCTATAACATGTATGTAATCTCTACAGTGTATCTAAATTAATATAGCTGACTGTGTTTCCTATTCTTATTGATGCTCGTGTTCCTGCTACAGGTTTGGTTGTACTTGTAAAGCCATTTTTGTGCTGCTCTCTTCATAGGAGGCATAGAGCAGTGCCTGTAGGATATCCTGCTGGATGGATGGCAAAGCCTCATAATTTTATTCTGGTTTGCCTCTTTGGTAAGTATTTTATAGTAGTTTAAAACACCTTTTGGCAGCAGCACAACCTCCCTTAATTTGCTGAATTCCCTCCAGTACATCATGATAGTAGGATCATGTGCACTGCTTTCATACTCTTGCTTTTGATCTTGCTTGAAACCACTACCCCCAGTGAAGACCCGTGCATTGCAGAGCACAGTGCAGCCTTACTCCTTGTACTCCTTCTCCTCTGTCACATTTTCTCTTCCACCACAGTTGCTGACGCCAGCTTTGGGATCAGGAGGTCAGGGAGTCAGCTGCCCTGACAGGGCTTGTCTTGTATGCACCGTTGAATTCCTGCACAATCTATTGTACATCGCCTACTACTATCACCCATCACCTTTTCCTGGTTGCTGTTGTTGGTTTGCTGCTTGTCCCTGCCGTAGGGAAAGGATCTGGGCACTACTGCAGCCTCTCCCTTCAGCAGCTCCAAGTGAAGGCATTGGCCACCACCAAAGCAGATGGTGCAGACCCCCCCTGGAGCTGCAGCCTTTGCTTTCCAGTAAGTGCCCACCCTAATACCCAAGGGTCAGGTAGAATGAGTGCACTGATCTGTGCAGATGGCCTGTGGAATGTCCCTCTGAAGAGGCACCCTCCCTGCACACCCTTCAAGTCAGGGGGTTCTAAAATCTCTGCATTTTTGCAAAGAACTCATAAGAAAGACTCAGGAGTGGCTTTTGCTGTTTGTGGATCTTTCTGTGAGCATCCCAGTCATTGGGCTGGTCCTAGCATGATGAGCTTGTGTTCAGAAGGCTGCATAATCCTAACAGTAAATATTTATCTTGGGTCAGATGAAATCTTTGCTGTAACAATAAGGATTGTCAACGTTTTGTGAGGGGTGGTTTCCCCCACAGCAGAATGTAGCAGGAATCCCTGCTGCCCCCCATCCCCGCTGCTTCAACCCTCACCCCTGTTCAGCACAGCTCAGAGAAGCCGAACACAAATATTTCCCATTCGAACATACTGCAAGTCATGGGTCTGGTTTGGAATGGGCTGTAGGTCAGGCAATAAATAGGCTTAAAGCAGAGTAAAAGTGCTCATAGGTAAATCTGAGCAGTGGTTAATGATTAGCCTTTCATGCAGGTACTGATACGGGTTCTGCTTGTCAGCATTATCGGTGAGTTTAGAAACTTTGATCCATCTGAGACTTGTTGCCTGTTTGGAGAAGACAAACTGCTCTCCTGGAGTCAGGAGGTGGAAAGTCTGGCTCTGGAATAGTAAGTACTTGCTTTTTGAGCTCTGAAGCATGTCTGTTTGGAGTAGCAGCTCTGTGGCAGCGCAGGGGTTTGGAAGCTGTGTGGAAAGGCCATGGTTGAAGGTTGGTCCTGGACTCACTCATAACTGAAACAAAAGCCCTGTTGATGGCTGTTCGTTCCAGCATTCCATGCCCTAGAGGTGGTCCTGTCAGAAGAGCGCCACGAGGCCAAGGCTCTTCCAAAGACAAGTTCCTTCACAGAATGGCTTGGTTTGGTTGCCCTTTCCCTCTGCTTTGTATGGCAGGAGGTCTTCTCCCTTCCTGACTTGAGTGAAGGTGGGATTGTATTTTGGCATTTCGCACAGTGAAAATGCAGGGGTGCTCTGTTCCATGGACTAGGGCTATGGATTTGTTCTCCAAACTTCTGCAAGTATTTGCATTACTACCTGGGAGCTATTTGTATGTCACATGTTCCATCCTCTTTCTTGTTTAAGATCATGGTGGAAGAGTAGGAATATGCCTGTGGTGATGTATAGTTTGGTCTTAACCAAACTCAGAGACTGACTTCCTGGGCTTAATTGAAAACACAGCAGGATGGATTTTGCTGCTGCTGCCCTGGGTTTTGTTCAGAAACAGCTTCAGGCTTCTCAAAACAGGAGGTGTTTTGAGCAGTTGAGTTTGGTTCCTGGCTGTGGTGGAGCAAGGTTTTGTTGTGAGGGAGAGTCACTGGTGCACAAGGCAGTGAACACGCATTCATTTCCCTTCTGCAAGCAGGAAATGCATCTTTCTAGAAGTCATTCTTACAAACTATCAGGTCTATAGTCAAAAGCCTGCATTGCAGGTGACCCTGACCCACCAGAGCTCGAGCTGGAAGCCCCAGTGTGTTCCCGTAGGAGCTGACATCAACAGCACAGGGCTATTGCGGCAACATCTGGCACAGGCCAGAACGTGTGAGCCCCAGGGAAGGTGAATGCTTGAGTGGCCACCTTAAAATGCTGTGTTTGCACATGGACACACATCTGAGGAGCCACTGCAGGCAAACAACTGCTTACATGTGAAAAGCAAGGGATGAAACATGCTCCTGAGGTTGTTGGTCAAGGAAGCATTCACGTGTGGTGGAAGCCAATGGCACAATGAGGGTGTTTCTCTTTGATGAGTGTGTGGCAGTACTGGACATGGAAAAATGTGTGTGAATTGCTTAAACCGGTGTCTCTTGTATCATGTGTGGAAGAGATTCCTCAAAATTACCACCAAGTTCTAGAGGGTGGTTTTCTTCTAGTGAGATTCTCAAACCATACCTGGAAGCCAGTTCAGAACTTAAACAGATGTTGCCCTTCCTGGGCTAAGTCTCATCATGATGTTGAAAAGCAGCCAGAGGGGAAAAATGAGCTTGTTTTACGGGTGTGGAGGTTTGTGTAAGTGCTGGGTTGTTATCAGCTGACCCATTAACTTGTTACCACTGTGCTGCTGTGCCCCAGGCATTGCCCAGGTTCCCAGGAGGGAAGAGTTCTCTGCCAAAGGATTTGCAGGGTGCTCAAGAACAGGAGCTTTTTGGTTCAACTACAGGATCTGTATCTGGGTCCAGCTCTCCAGAGCACAGAGCTGCTTCTCGCCATCTCTGCAACAACAGATAAGTCCTCAATGTATGCAGGGTATCAACCTAGATGTGCAGGTGTCATGCTCAGAAGGGTGCTGATGGGGGGCATCCTGCTCCCACCACGCCTGCTTGAGCAGGGAGCTTGGACTAGATCATTGCAGGAGGTCTCCTAAATCCCAGTGGTTCTCTGACTGAAAATCTTAACCAGTGGTCCTCCTGTGGTGATCTGTGGAACAGGGGGAGAGAGGGTAAGGTCTGGGAATCATCCTTGCGTGAATCTCCTGAACCATCTGTGTTGATGGACTTCAGGCTCTCTTTTATGAGGCTTGTAATAAACCACCCATTTATTACCCTCAGCATTAGTTTTATCTATGCGAGACAAAGGTATTTATGATGGTGGTGGGTATCGTCTGCATTCTGGCACCTGTATTAAAGGCCAGGTGATGCACTTTTGGGCCACATTGAGTCATGTTGCATTTTTGCAGCTGAGGAAACTTTTGCTTGGGAATGCATTTGCTGACTCCTGGTTTCAGTTTAGAATCACAGCATCACAGAGTGGTTTCTGTTGGAAGGGACCTTAAAGCTCATCCACCTCCAACCTCTGCCACAGGCAGGGACACCTTCCACTGGAGCAGCTTGCTCCAAGCCCCTGTGTCCAACCTGGCCTTGAACACTGCCAGGGATGGGGCAGCCACAGCTTCTCTGGGCACCCTGTGCCAGCGCCTCAGCACCCTCACAGGGAAGAGCTTCTGCCTAAGAGCTCAGCTCAGTCTCCCCTCGGGCAGGTTCAAGCCATTCCCCTTGGCCTGTCCCTACACGCCCTTGTCCCAAGCCCCTCTCCAGCTTTCCTGCAGCCCCTTTAGGCACTGGAGCTGCTCTAAGGTCTCCCCTTCAGGAGTGTTCTCTTCTCCAGGCTGCCCCAGCCCAGCTCTCTCAGCCTGGCTCCAGAGCAGAGCTGCTCCAGCCCTCGCAGCATCTCCATGGCCTCCTCTGGGCTCACTCAAGCAAGTCTTTCGTGTCTCCTGTGATTATTTTACAGTCTTACAAGGCTTAAGGCTGGAAGGCTCCATGTGAAGCAAGTCTGGTCAGAGCTGTTTTTGCTGTTCAAGCTGGTGCGTGTGCTTCCCACCTCAGGAAACCCTGGAGCAACGGCTGATAAGGTACTGACTTGGAAGCAGTACCCTGGCTGCTATTCTATTATACCCAGTGTTCCTTAGGGATTAAATGCTTCTGCATGTGGCCACTGGATGGTCACAAACAGTAACACATCTGCTTATCCCTTGGGCAGAGGCACCTTTTCACATGAGATGGGCTGGCTCCTTTCATACATACCAGTGCTGGGGGCGGTGTGAACCTGCAGGAATCTGGTGCTGAATTCATGAGCACTGTGAAGAATCTTGTGTGCAAACGGGGTTTGCTTCCATTTTAAGATTTAGGTTTTCCCTTCGTTAAGTCTGTGATAGGTAGAAGAATCCATGCTGGAAGCTGTTCTTGGTTGGGGCCTATAAAAGATGAAGTGAAATTCTTCACTAGGCTTGGGCTTTCTAAGGAAGTGGAAGTTGTGCAATCTCGCGGGATACATGATGCAAATCTTGCAATTTATGGTTGCAGATACTAGTATTTTTAGATTAAAAAGTGTTTAAGCCTATTGCAAGTCTTAGAAGTCTTTAACCTGCCAGAGGGGAGACTGAGATGAGCTCTTAGGCAGCAGCTCTTCCCTGTGAGGGTGCTGAGGCGCTGGCACAGGGTGCCCAGAGAAGCTGTGTCCCTTCCAACACAAACCAGGCTGGGATTGTATGACTGTGTCTCACTCATTCCTCAGCATACACCAAGGCAGCAGGACGTTTCCTGCTGTCTGGCTGCGTGGATCACATCTCCCTGCTCAACATTCTTGTTCTTGGTTGTGTAATGTCCCTGCAGAAACCACACAGAGGATAAGGAAGTGTCCTATTTGTTCAAGAGATTACATAATGTTGGAAAATACGGGTCACACGGCACTTCCTTTGTGTCTCCTCTGCCCTGCTGCTGTCCTGGTTCTCTCCATCAGTAAGGATGAGGGTTGGACAGCTTCTGCTGACCAGTGAGCGCGAGGTCCTCGGGTGGTTTCTGACCGGTCATGCACAGTAGGCAGGCACCTCTCAGCTGTCCCCACATCCCAGCAGGGCCTGTGAAGCCACTGGGATTTAAAGCCATTCTGCCTTATCTCTGCTTAAACACAGCCTGGTTCCTGTGGGGAAGAGGAGACCTTTGGGTTTCTGCTCCCTAGATGCTGAATACTGGGCACTTTGTGACATGGGTTACGTATCATGACAGGGGTGGTGTTCATACTCTGGATGATCTGAGGAAGAGAGATGGAGCTGGGATAAGTGGCCTGCCAGGCTGTGGACCTGGGGTAATTGCTTCAGCAGTCTTTGGCATGCACATGGCTGATGAAGAGGTTCTTCTGTCGATGCCTCCTGGGAATTGCCTTTGATGGAGACTTGTTAGTACTAGTTCTGAATCCACGCTGGCATTGGCTATAAGGAGTTCTGGTGTCTGACATGATGTAGGAGTCATTAGCCTGGATGTTGTATAAAGAAACTGTAACGTAGCATCCTGTGTCAGTTTTGGCATCTCTTAACACCATGGTTTGCTCTCCAGATGAGTGCTTGAGTCAGCTTTTTATGGCACCTTCTCTGCTTTGGAAGCTGGTAGGCCAGGCTGGATGGGGCTTGGAGCAAGCTGCTCTAGTGGAAGGTGTCCCTGCCTGTGGCAGGGGGGTGGAACTGGGTGAGCTTTAAATTCCCTTCCGACCTAAACCACTCTGTGATGATTCTGTGATCCTTATCACTTTTAGTTGGCATCACCTTTGCCAATACTCGAGTTGTGTGTCTGCCGATGCTGCATCTCACCCCTCTGAATGCTGACTAACGTCTGTTGGCGTTTGCTAGCGGTGAGGAATCCAACCTGTGTTTGACATGTCTGTTCCTGGCCCTCCACTGTGGTTGGCAGAGGGGAGGCTCTGCGCCAGGAGAGCTGTGCTTTGTTCCTGAGCTGCACTTTTGACTTGCTCACCTCAGAACAATCTCTCCAGCTGGGGTGATCAAACACAGCCGAGGGTCAAATGTGCTCAGGGCCTTTGAAAGCATCCCACTGTGGACATGGGTTAATTTGGGCTTGCTCAGGTTGGAAGTACTCATGTTTGACCAGGGTGGTAGCAGGTCATTGCTGGGTTAGCAGAATACTTCAATTTGCATTATTTCTGATGTGTTTCGCCAACACTTGTTTGCTGTGTCCTGCCTGTGTGTGGGTAAGAGCCATGCACACAGTTCACCACTACAGCTTTCCCATCCGTCCATCACTCAGAATAGCTCCTTTGCACCATGCTTCTATGACAAATGAGTATTGAGCAGCATCTGCACATTGCAAGCTTGTACCTGGTGGTGTTCACAGGAGCTGCCAGCTCCAATCCCAGTGCCATTCCTGATGTCGTGCTCTTCCTACTGTTTTGCATCTTGGGACATGGACTGTTGTAGTTGCACAAAAACGATCTCATTGGGTATACCCAGTGCTGTGCTGTGAGCTCCAAAGCCTATCACCCACCTCCACAAACATTCTCACTTCTAGCACTATGTGGGGGACAGGAAGCAGCAGCTCATGGCTGCTGTGCTGAGGAGAAGGTGGGGTTGCCTCATGTCCTGCCAAGAGTGGGGCAGCCTAGGGAGCATGTAGAGGTGGTGACCCAGAGATTTGGCTCAGTAGGCAGAGGCATGGATCGGTCTCAAGGATTGCATTTCTGCTGTCAAAGAAAAACTTCATGTTCTAATCTGTGTGGGAATGTGCCCGGGATTCTCTCACGGATAAGGGGAGTTCCTGCTGATGCCTGAGCTGATGTAGTACTCCCTGCATTGCTGACCCACTGTTCGTGAGACAAACCAAGGAGCTGGTTCTGTCACCTCTTGCTTAATGTTGATGTGCTCATTGTAGAAGTAACCTGCTCCACTGAGGCAAGGACTGAGAGGTGGCCACCACAAGCGGAGGAGCCGCTGTAGGGCAGGATGGGATAGCTGAGTTGGAAGGGACATACAACAGTCATCTAGTCTAACTGTCAGGCTAGGGTTTGGGACCGCCAGCCCAGGAGCACTCGTGGTCTCAGTGCAGAGCTCTGTGTGTGCTCCAGGTGATTGAGCCTGGGCTGTCAGCATCAGAGTCCTCTTGCAGAAACGAGGTTAAGAGCCAGGAGAATCTTGGCAAGGACCCTGCAGTTTTGCCGTGCTTCTCAGTAGTATCCTTCCTTTATTGCTTTTCCATCTTCTGGAGTCTGGTATGAGCAAAACGCTTGGCTGCAGAGGAGGCTGTTCTTGCTCAGCCTACTTAACTCTCCGTTATTTTCTCCATCTATACACATCTCTTGCCAGCACTTGTCAGCCTTTCCTCTGATCAGTCTTGGTCTTGGGGTTTCTGCTCTGCAGGCTTGTTTTCTCCTGCCTTTCACTTCACTGGGCTTGATAATGACATGGGCTGGTGTGGTGCTGTGCTTCATGGAGCTCAGGGCATTGTCCTGTAAGGAACACTCTGTCCTTGGTTGTGTTTTCTTCTTCTTGTTCAAATATTTAGGGATTTCCTGAGGAGTCTGCAGAGGCTGGAGGATGAGGAGTGACCGTCCCCATGTAGGGCAGCAGATCAAGCGGGGTCTCTAACAGAAGGTGACCAGACAAGCTTGCTATGAAAATAAACCCCATCAAAGGGATGTGATTGTGGCCATGCTGAGAGGAAGAGCTCTGGCCCCTCCTCGAGTGATGTGGGTTGTGCTGAGTGAAAGCCACCAGCTCTGCCTTAGCTCTAGAGCTGTAGTTCATAAAGCACAGCACCTAAGGGCTTGAACCCATGCTGATACTTCATTAACTTCTTTTCATCTTAATTTTAATTAAAAGGAGATTAATGTGTATGACTGCACCAAGCTGTCAAATAATGTGTGACTCTGGGAAGCCTGTGTGGGCCAGGATCTCAGTTGGAACCTGTGGTCTGAAATGGGACCACTTTAGAGGGTTTTCTGCCATGTCCATGAGTGCTGTGTGATAGTTATGTGGACGGGCAGTTGTGACAGGGCGGTTCTATGAGAGGGACAAATGTGTATTGGAAACGTGCAGTGCGGGAAAGAAACACAAGGGTTTGGTTAGAACAACACAAGCAAGGGGTGGCAGCCAGAGCCCTGCAGGAGGGGGCTTTGCAGCTCAGATAAATGTGAGAAAACAGCAGAACGACTCCACTTGGCAGGGCAGAGCCCCACGGACCCCCCGTGTGTTCCCCCCGCTCCAGGGCAGGGGCATGGACTCGCAGAGGGTGTCTGTTGGCCCCAGCAGTGGGATGTGGCTGTGGTGCCGAGCGCCTGAGCTGAACCTTGGCTGAATCTTCCATCCCAAACCGCCCTGTGAGGGGGGTGGAAGGCTTTGATCCACTCCCTGCTCACATCCTGCCTCCAGGGTTTGTCAGAGGCACCTGAGGAAAGGGTCTGTCTGAGCCTGGGTGGGTGCCATCGCTTGTGTGCTCAGGAGCAACGGGACATTCTTGATGTGCCATGTGTTGTGCTGTCCCATTCGGCATCCAGGACCAGGCGGGAAGGGTTCCAGCCTGAGATCCTCGATGGAGGAGGATCACCTCTCCTGCGTGGCTTTCTCCCCTCCTCAAAAACTAACAGCCCTGGAGGTTATTGCCACGGGCCCATCTCCTGCTCGTACGGTGTGTGATAGCTGCTGAAGAGCTGCTCTCTCTCCATGCTGCCAGCTTGGCTGCGTCTCCCTTCCACATCCCTGCTGACTGCTTCCATCTGTGTATGTCACAGGCTGCCCAGGCAGCGGCCCCTTTGGAAGCTGCACACAAGCTGCTGTCTGTAGCCCTGCTCAGCTCTTTTGTTGCCCATCCTTTTCCACTCCCTGCACTCTACCCTTGGGCATCACAAGCTGGACATCCTCCAGAGTACCTGTCTTCTTCAGAGCTTCTGAAGCCCAGCTCAGCTGTACCCCTTCCACTGACAGGGGGAGAGGGACAACATGCTCCTCTCCCAAGCTATTCCCTTCTCTTCCTTGCTCTTTATCCAAACCCTTTCTAGTGTGTAGAGCTTTTAGGAAACCGTAAATGTCTGGTAAAGGCTTTTGGTTGGGACTCTGAGGAGGTAACACAGGACCAGGCCAAGCCACAGCTCTGCTGTGAGCTTGCAAACATCCCTTGAATCTTTAATATAGCATTCAGAGCTCCTTCTGCAGGAGTTGAGCAGGGGAAGGGCGGAGCTGTGCAATTATGGGGTGTGGTGGTTGCATCACAATCCCTCCTGTGTGCCTGAGTTCCTGCCTGGGGTTGCTGAAGTTGCCGGGGAGAGTTCTGAGGGGAACTTTGGCGTTGGAGAGCAGCAGTGTGTGTCTGTGGAACACTTCCATTGCGTTACTGGAGACTGATCTGTTTGTTCCAGGTATCTTTCCAGTGCTGAGGCGCTGGCACAGGGTGCCCAGAGAAGCTGTGGCTGCCCCATCCCTGGCAGTGTTCAAGGCCAGGTTGGACACAGGGGCTTGGAGCAAGCTGCTCCAGTGGAGGGGGTCCCTGTCCATGGCAGGGGGTGGAGCTGGAGGAGCTTTAAGGTCCCTTCCAACCCAAGCTGCTCTGGGATTCCATAAGCTTTAGTGTGCCTAAGGCAGCTTGCCCCAGGAGGGCTCTGCCTGCTCCTGGTGTATGAACAGGTAGGATTAGGATGTGCCTTTAGGAGCTAAGCCCGGAACCCCGGGGAGTCCCAGCAAGCGCCCCCTTTGGAAAGGAAGCAGTTAAAGTCGTCCTGTTTGCCAGGAAATTGAATAAATGAAGCAGTGCTTAAGCCTCAGGGTGACTGGCTCAGAGCAGTCAGTGGAGAGCTGGGTTTAGCCAGGGAACAGTGCAGCAGTGTCTGCAGCTGCCTGCCTCCCCTCCCACCTCCATTTACAGCACTTCAGGGGAAAAACAAGGATTGGGCTTGAGACCACAGCCTGGGAGCCTGTGGAGCTCACACGGTTGCCAGCTGGGCTGCTGTAAGTAGAGCACTGATAACTTTTGGTTGCCTTTTCCATTACTCACGTGTTTTATATGTGGCATTCCTTTGTGGCATGCAGGACTGAGGCGGACGTGATGTTTCCAACATGTTATTTCTGACCTTTTTTCCCTTGGATTACTCTAGGGAGCTTTCATTTGAATTCTCACTAAATCTTACCTGGGGTTTCTCCCTTTTTTTTCAGGAGAACAGAGGGAGCTCCTGACCCTGTTCTGGCTACCAGCAGCACTGGTGCAGAGACCCTAGGTAAGAATCACTCCAGCTGTGTGGAGGCAAGACTCTGGAGGCTGCTGCACAGGAGCCAGCCCCATCAGCATGGCTCTGGTGAACCAGTAACTGGCTTAAAGGAGACTGAAGACAGTTTTCTTAAGGCACTGGTACTTCTGGGCACAGCCACTGGAATTAGTTTTATTCCTTGCTTTCTCAGCACTGGCATGGGAAAGATGAGGCACTGTTTTGAAGGGTAGGGCTTGCTGCTCTAATGAGTGTTGATGTAGGGCTCTGTTGTTAATCCTGTCAGACTTCTGATTCAGAAAGGGGTTTCACTCCTTTTGAATGTGGCTTTAAGGAAGCTGTTTGCACACCACGTTTCAGACCCAGCTGATCTGTAAAGCACTTTCAGGGAGCTTGGCAGATTCATCCCATAGTCTGTCTTGTTTGTGCATGTCCTGTGTTTCTGCATTAAAAGGTGTTACCTGTGTTGGGGGTCTGGAAGGCTGTTTGCCACAGGAAAAACTGTGGCAGGAGTGGCAGGATGCTCAGTGAACAGGGCAGAAGCAACGGACTGAGAAATCCTGGTGGAGGTTCTGTATAATGTACATCAGCTTATGGTTAAGACCTGCTTGAGAAGACTGCTTTGTGTTTGGCATCTCAGCAGGCCCAGCCCATTTGCCCATTGTTTCTGTTGCACTGGCAGAAGATAACTGTCTCTCCTCCCTTTCCTGTGCCCTGGAGTTGCTAAGGTGGCTTCCTGGTGTGTGTGTGGGATGAGGCAGCCTGGTTACATGTTGGTGGAGGGTGAAAGTACAACCTGATGCTGAGCTTGAGCTTGGGAGGTTGCTGTTGTCAGGTGCTGCTCCAGGCTGCACATCTCCCTGACCCAGCTGCAGGGGTATTCCATTGCAGCAGAGGGGTAGAAGCCTGTGAGCAGAGCCTACCTGAGTGCTGAGGTCAGGCCTATTCCAAGGAGAAGTCCTGTGTGTAGCTCTGAGTCTTGCTGTTTTCCTTAAGGATCTGAGGACTCGTGAAATGGAGGCTGTGGCTCTTTTTCCCTGGGGTGACAGCACCAGGAGGGAAAGAAAGAAGCCCTGGAGAGAATTTCCTCATTCCTGTCTCCTGTCCCACCCTGTTTGTTTGCTTATGTGGTAGAGCTATTGCAGAGTACGGAAGAAATGTGTGTGTAGTAACTGCAGCATGGAGGCAGGGGCACCCTGAGGTCTGTGCCCCTTCAGGTGGGTAATGCTTTGACATACCTGAGCCTGCTGCAGCCCAGGGTCTGCTCCAGACCCCTCACCAGGGCGGGCTCAGGAATCCACGCCAAAGCCTCTCTATCTCTCTGCAAACATGGGAGCAGGGTGAGACAAGTCACCCATTCAGCCAAAAATACCTGCTGGAGTGCTGGGTTTGTACAAGACTAAACCTATTTAAAGAGCTGGCAATAATAGAAACTTATGGCGGCGGGGTGAGTTCCTCCAGGTGTGGAGTCAGACTTGTTAAGAAGTGCCTTTCTCTTTGTGATACACACAGCTCTATCTCAGTTGGCTTGTCCCTTAGGGTCTGTGCAAGCAAGCAGATGTTTGCAACTTGAAATATTACACAGCCATGAACCTCTTGCTACTCCTGGTCTAGGTGTTGGGTTTTACCCCAAAGCACTGGTAGAGACCTAAGTTGTAACTGACTGATTGTACTGGGGTGTTCCACTCAAAGTGATTTATTTTTAAACAGGAATGCATCCACATGTTGGTTATCTTTAGTAACACAAAGGGCAGCTCAAGTGCCTCAGTCTGGGTTATTTCCTCTTATTCTACTTAATATCATACAATCACAAGCTGGTTTGGGTTGGAAGGAACATGAAAGATCATCTTCCTAAAATCTAATTGATAGATCTTAAGAACTCCTGCCTAAGAGCTCATCTCAGTCTCCCCTCGGGTAGGTTCAAGCCATTCCCCTTGGCCTGTCCCTACAGGCCCTTGTCCCAAGCCCCTCTCCAGGTTTCCTGCAGCCCCTTTAGGCACTGGAGCTGCTCTAGGGTCTCCCCTTCAGGAGCCTTCTCTTCTCCAGGCTGCCCCAGCCCAGCTCTCTCAGCCTGGCTCCAGAGCAGAGCTGCTCCAGCCCTCGCAGCAGCTCTATGGCCTCCTCTGGCCTCACTCTGTGTAACCTCTACCCGCTCTCTGCTCATTCACATGCAGGCACTTGTTTGCCTGTACCCTGTCAATATCTAGAGGACACATCCCTGTTTCTCCTTTCTGAAGACCATTGTGGTAAATCAGTGAGCAGTTGGACACAACCCGCCCATGAAGGGAGTTTTTAATGTGGTGAACAGCCAGGGATGATGTGGGGCATGTTGGAACCCGCAGAGCTTGGCAGGAGCACTGGATCCTGAGAAGAATAAATAATGGAATTGGACAGTAGTTGCTACCAGGAATGTTGCAGGCAAAGCACAAGCAACGTGTCAGTCACATGGAGGAAGAAGAGGGAGGAGATGAGTTTTAGATGGGGAGAGGGGAAGTTCTCCCTTTACTTCTTTCCTCTTGCAGCACTCACCTTTGATCCCATGGTGTAATTCCCTTGGGCTGTTCTTCTTCCTTCCCTGCTGCACAAGACAATTTGAAGTTTGTGTGTCTTGGCACAGGCTTCCTTTCCCAAATGTTTGTACTTGGGGACTTCAGTGCTTGAACATTTCATCTCTGAATGGGATCATCTTCAAAGCTGTGCTGTGTGAAAATCTCACCATGCGTTCTGTAGCTGTCCTTTGGGAATGCTTTTTGGTGTCAGGTGAGCGGCTGCTCGCATGAGTATTAATTCTTAATTTAATTAAGAACTTGAGTTCTCCCCCAGCACTGCTGGCTTCGTTTCCTTATCTTTCCCCAGTCCTTAACCTCTGTCCTTGACCGTCTTAACTTCAAAGCCTGTTGAGATGCTGTGTCACTGATGCTCTACCAGGCTGCAAGTCCTGCACCACCAATGGTTCCTGCACACCACTGCATCAGACCACTGTCTCAGAACCAGCTCTACCATGGGCTGGTTGCCCTTCAGGGTTTGTTTACTGAAAGCTCCTCTGGAGTTTCATTTCCCCTTTCCAGTCTCTGTATATCCACACCTATCTGTTCAAACACCATAGTGGCTTTTAGCTTAGAAAGCTCCTTTTCCCCAGTTGTAAGCACTCCTGGTGGTTGATCTGGGAGGAAGCACATCTCTGTTGGGGTTTAACTCCAGTCAGCACCTGAGCACCGTGGAGCCACTGGTGGAATTCAGGGGGAGAGCTGGAAAAAGGTAAAACCAGTGAGTTAAAAACAGTTTAATAATGGAAATAAAGTGAAATATAATGATAGGAAGAGGAAATAAAAAGGGAGAAAGGGAGAGAGGAGTGAAGCCCAAGAAGAGCAAGTGGCACACAGTACAATTCCCACCACCCACGGACTGATGCCAGCTCATCCTGAGCAGCGGCTGGCTCCTCCCAGCCAACCTCCCCAGTTTCTATCCTGGGCATGATGTGCTGTGGGATGGAATACTCCTTTGGCTGCTTCACGTCAGGTGTCCTGGCTCTGCTTCCTCCAGGCTCCGTGTGCCCCCCCTCACTGGCAGAGCATGAGACTGAAAAGTCCTTGATCAGGGTGAGTGCTACTGAGCAACAGCTAAACCATCAGTGTGTTACCAGCACCGCACCAGCTACTAGGGACAAAATTAACACTATCCCAGCCCAAACCAGGACAGCTTCATCTCAGGTTTTTCTTAAACTTTGATTTAAAGTGTCTGTACTTTGCTTTTTATTTCACTTGGTTTTACTTCAGTGGAGTACGGGGGTACACAGGATTGCAGACAGGGTCTGGAACAGCAGTGTCAGTACTTATGTTCAGTGCTGTCTCACCTGGACTGCGTGAGGCTTGCCTCTACCTGGTTCTGTTACACTGAGAGATGCTGTTATTTCAAGCCTGATGGTGTTCCCAGGTGGCTCCTTCCACCTGGTGACTTTTCATAATATATATGTTGGGCTGCACCCCCAGAGCATGAGCAGCAGCTCAGGGAGGGGATCCTTGCCCTCTGCTGTGCTCTGGGGAGACTCCGCCTGCAGCCCTGATCCAGCTCTGGGGCAGCAGCACAAGAGGAGGCCATGGAGATGCTGCGAGGGCTGGAGCAGCTCTGCTCTGGAGCCAGGCTGAGAGAGCTGGGCTGGGGCAGCCTGGAGAAGAGAAGGCTCCTGAAGGGGAGACCTTAGAGCAGCTCCAGTGCCTAAAGGGGCTGCAGGAAACCTGGAGAGGGGCTTGGGACAAGGGCCTGTAGGGACAGGCCAAGGGGAATGGCTTGAACCTGCCCGAGGGGAGACTGAGCTGAGCTCTTAGGCAGAAGCTCTTCCCTGTGAGGGTGCTGAGGCGCTGGCACAGGGTGCCCAGAGAAGCTGTGGCTGCCCCATCCCTGGCAGTGTTCAAGGCCAGGTTGGACACAGGGGCTTGGAGCAAGCTGCTCCAGTGGAAGGAGTTGGAGGTGGATGAGCTTTAAGGTCCCTTCCAACACAAACCAGGCTGTTCTTTCACACCAGAAATTGTCCTGAGTCCATCTAGGGCTGCGCTGGGTGCAGAGTGTGGAAGCCATGTCCCCATCTACCCAAGAGCTGTATTTTTAATGCAGTGTGTCCAGACACACTAATTTGCAGTAACCAGATTAGGGATCTGCACTGGCAGCCTTTGGAGTGTTTCTCTCATTGCGTGTGATGTGATTAGAGGGGAGATGTGACAACATAAAGCTCATGGAAACGAAATTGGATTGCCTGGGGCTGTTGCAGACCTTTGCCTGGTAATAGGTCTTGTACCACCTAACATAATTTCTTTGTTAAACATGTCCCCAATAAATGTGTAACTGTCAATTAGGAGAAATATTGACATCTGATTCCTTAGTATACACAATTTAAAATGGGGCTTGAGGTATTTTTGCATCTTGCATGACTGCAATTGAGAAGAGACGTGGGGTTTTTTGTCCTTTTACAGACGAGAAATATTCCTTTATACTGAGCACTTGTCCCCATGTGCTACCTCAATCACATTAGGCTGCCTTGCTGGCAAGAGGGTTGAGGGTGGTGCAGCAGTAGGATGAGGTAAAGCTCAGAGGGACATATCTCCTTTAAACTGTCCTGCTCACTTTGCTCTGTGTCCTCTGTAGTCCAGTGCAGGACCATGAGGATGCTTCAGAAGCCTGTCCTGTCATTGGCTTAGAGTATTTTCTCTTGCAGTAGCACCAGAGAAACCATAATTCTGATTAGAGAAGTGCTTATTGTGGTTTTGGTTTCCTTCTCAGGGTTCCACTTGTCTACGTGCCTTTTGGAATCTCTGTGGTAAAGATACCTCACGATCACCACATGAACAGCTCCAAGTTTCCAGCCACTCATCCTCCTGAACATCACCACGCAATGGCATCCTCAGAACACAGCCATGGATCTGACATGATGATGACGGTAAGTGGAAAATTTGTAGTTAACCAGAGAGCTTTTCCTTATCTGTGGTTCAGAGTGAGTTGTCATCTTAAGGACTGTGCTCTTTGAGAATCATAGACTGGTCCAGGTGGGAGGGACCTTAAGGCTCCTCCAGCTCCAACTCCTGCCACAGGCAGGGACCCCTTCCACTGGAGCAGCTTGCTCCAAGCCCCTGTGTCCAACCTGGCCTTGAACACTGCCAGGGATGGGGCAGCCACAGCTTCTCTGGGCACCCTGTGCCAGGGCTTAAGTTTAATCAGAAATTAAGCTTAGCTTTGGAAGGTGTTCTTAAGACCCAAACCCAGGCCCCCTTGTGGCTCTTCTGGAATGAAGGTGTGGCAGGAGGTGATAGGCAACACAAAATGCATTTCAGAGCTGGAAAGCCTGCGGCAAAATGGTCTTTTCCAGCGAAGACCTTTCTAGCAGACAGCCTGGTGTCTGCTCTCCAGCCAGCTAAAGGCAGAAATGCCAAGTAAGCTATTTCCTGCAAGAAACAGACACGGATGGAGTTCTCCAGGCTGTTGGTGTTAGCAAAAGCCTTAACTGGCACTGAGGGGGCTGCACACCAGTGTGATAGATTGTGCAGACCTGCACACGATCAGCCCCTGTGCCCTTTTCCTTCTGAACTCGATATGCACTGCGCTTGGGGAGCAAAGTGCTACCAGGGCTCTTTGCCATGTTGGCATTAAGGCTGTGTTGCTGCTGAATCCTGCTGCTCTAGCTAACTCTGATTTAAACAGGTTCAGACTTGGGTGTGCTGACCGCATAGAAGCTTTGCAGAGATCCTGGCCAGAGTTTCCCTGGAGATGACCAGGGATGTGTGTTTGTGTGTAACCAGTTCTCGGGATGTTTTCAGCTTTTTCTCCCTTTTCTAAGTACTTTTGGAGTGAGTTTCAGGTTATTAAAACCTGACTCTTTAGGGTTAAACTTTGAAAGGAAGGGAGAGAGAGTGCATTTCCCTTCCAGATGGGAATGTACTTGGATACATTGCAAGCCTTCAGTTAGAGTTTGCTCAGCTGTGTGCCGTGAAGAAGGCAGCAAGAATCACTGCTTCTGCTTACACCTCAGGGTCATAGCAGGAGAGGACCAGAGCTGCCTCCCCTTGGGGAGCATGGCTCAGTGCAAAGCCAGGGCTGCTGGTGGGACTTGCAGTCCAGTGTTGTCACTGATGCCCTTGTGAAGCTCATCATCTGTGGTGTACGTATCTGGTTGGGAAGATGACATTAATCCCAGCTGGCCGGGGATCATTGGCTCCCCTTCACACAGCATTCATTCACTGTGCACGTTCAGGAGCTCTTATTTTTACCCAGGGGAAGCTGTGCTCCTGATTTATATACTCCTTGTTGTACCGGTATTTAAGCCTCTGTTTCCCATAGGATATTAGGAGGTTCTGTAGGGAGACAAGAGTCTGGGGCCAGAGGATTCAGCTACAGAAACCTTTATCTATATAAGCTCACATGAGGTCAGGGTTAGGGGAAGAAAGTGCTCTGTGCACCCCAGGCCATGAACAGTCATTGCACAGCAGGGGTGAGCTCCACAGAGACATCCCCAGTCCCTGACTGCTTCTGGTGTTGCAGAGAGGAACTCTGAAAGCAAGGAGAAGGCATTTTCCTGTAGCAGGTACTGTAAAGGACAGATGTGCCCAGGGGCACTGCCTCAAAGAGCTGCCCACTGGAACTGGAACCTGGAGCATCACTGGCCATGTCTCGCTTGTGTGTGCTACACTGGATTAACTGAGGAGCTTCTCTGAGTCTCTCTGGTGACTGACTGAAAGGATTCAAGTGCTTGCTGTAACACGAAAGCCTTTGCTGAATCTTGTGAGCTCTGTCTCAGGATGAGCTCCTCAGGCTCATCTTGATGTTCTTTATGTTTTGGGCAGGCAATGACTTTCCACTTCGGCTATGAGAGTGTGCCATTGCTGTTTTCTGGACTTATAATCAATAGTCCTGGAGGTTAGTAAAACTCTCTTGTCCGGTCCCAACAAAAGGTTTACCAGTGGTGAATGTTTCAGGAACCAACTTGCTCTTGATGCCAAAGCCACACAGGCACAGTGCACTGAGTGTGTTTGAAATGGCATCTGTGGGGTGAAAGAAAAGGGGAGATGTTTTGTGTAGCTCAAGAATTTGACTGGTTTTACTACAAAAATGAGCGCTGGTTTCACTTCATGGGTGGAGTGCCAGATAGTGCTTGTCTGAAACTCACGTTTACCACCCACATGTGCATGCCCAGCCATAGCCTGGGCAGTGGGACGTGGTTGTGGACTCACGCAGTGCCTTTTCTGGTGTGTTTTGAAGCAAATGTCTCCTGTTGCTCAGATACAATAACGTCTCCTCTCTTGTCAGAAATGGCTGGTGCTTTTGTGGCTGTCTTCTTCCTGGCCATGTTTTATGAAGGTCTTAAGATTGCCCGGGAGTGTCTGCTCCGTAAATCCCAGGTCAGCATTCGCTACAATTCCATGCCAGTGCCAGGTCCCAACGGCACCATCCTGATGGAGACACACAAAACTGTGGGGTAAGAATTTCCCTTCATTCTAAGACACATTTCTTCAGCAGCTGACAAAGATGAAAATGGGGACAGAAAAAGAAACACTTCATGCAAGCAGTATTATCCTCTACAAAGTGTAATGGCTGCAGAGTGGGACATGGCTCCATGCTGTGCTGCAGTCACCTGCCCATCCTTCAGGATGTGGGCAACAAGAGGAGGAAAGCAGCAAGGAGTCAGATAAGCCTGGTTATTCTCCACAGCAGTTGTTAAACATGTTCAGGGAGTTCCCATGAACAGAATTTAGGTGTTAGGGACAAGTGACTCTGCCAGGAATTTCTTGGGATCCTTCTGCTGACAGGTAGATAGAGCCTGTACTCAGAGAAAAGCCATTCTGCTTATTGAATGTGGGGGTAAAATAAGCTGTAGAGCTCTGTTTCTCAGGTAAAATTGTGGTCCTCCTGGTAAGCACCATGCTGTCTTTGCCATCAGTCAGCTCTAGGGGGAAAGCTGCAGTCACACAGGACAGATGGATGCAGAAGTCTGTGTCCAGGCTGCTCTGTTACCTTGTGTGCCACCTCACACCCTCCTGGCATCCTGTCAGCCTAAGCTGAGCTGCATTTTCTCTTTGGGGGATGTGTGTTTTCCTGCCTGTGTTTCACGGATGCTGACTGCTCTTTGGGGTTTGTGTTCCCAGACAGCAGATACTGAGCGTCCCTCACCTCCTGCAGACCATGCTGCACATCGTCCAGGTCGTGGTCAGTTACTTCCTCATGCTGATCTTCATGACATACAACGGATACCTCTGCATAGCCGTGGCCGCCGGGGCAGGGATAGGCTATTTTTTCTTCAGCTGGAAAAAGGAGGTTGTTGTGGATATCACAGAGCACTGCCATTAACAGTGGACACTGCCCAGAAGCCTCTCCACCCCACTGCTCTCTTGAACAAAAGGGATCTCTTGAAGGGAGGGATCCTTCCTAAGCTGACAGAGAATCAATGTACAGAATATCCACTGGAGTTCACCACAGGGTCCTGGCTGGGGTGCAGGGATGTGAGGAGCTGGGGTGTGCTGCTCCCTTGCTGCAGGGCAGCAGTGTTGACTCGAGGGTCCCATGGTTGCCACTCTGGGCCAGGATTTGCTTTACTCTTAGATTATTCTGTGATTGAAATTAGTTGGCTGACAGAAATGTAGAAGTTATTCTTTAAGAAAACAAAACAAAACAAAAAAAAAACAAAAAACAACCAAAAAGCGTTTTATTTTTAAATTGTAAAAGCTCATCTGGGAGGGTTTCATGAACAGCAGGGAAAGACCAGAGTCACCCGTGGAGCTACATGTGTGAATGGCTGTTTTAATTCTACTTGTTTCAAGCTGTACAGGATGCCAGGGGACATCTCCCTGGCACTGTGGCTTTTGGGGCCAGTGACACCTTCTGATGCAGAAGGAAGTTTTGGTGCTGCACCTCAGACATGCTCAGGTGTGTGCTGCAAGGGAGTACTTGATGTAAGTGTGTTACCTGGGGTCTCAATGGCCTGTCCCCAAGCCCATCTGTGTATGATACTGGATAACTGGATGTGTCCAGCAGCATTACTCAGCTTCAGGTGGTAATGTTTAGGTTTGGCTGCTTTCAATTCCCAGTCATGGAAATACATGGAGTAGATGCAGGACAATTGTGTATTTACAGGGCAAAAAGACTGTAAATAACCCATTGAGCCTGCATTTACTTCATGTTGGATTGCACCTGGGTGGAGCTACAGGTGGGCTCTGGTTGAACTAGTTCTGTAAATGAGGCAAGAGCTAAATAATGATTTCATGACACTAAAGGTTAAGATGTCTGAAGCAGGCATTCCCTGGTGGAGATGAAGGAGGTAAAACAGTCGTGTTCCTGTAAAGGAGAGATCTGGGGAAGAGAAGAAAGAAAAGATAGAACTGAGCAGGCTTTGGTCTCTTCTCAGGTGAAATTTGGAGCAGTTCGAGCTGACTAAAAAGTGTTCCTGACTCAGATGACTCTTCTTTGTCTTGATAATTGTGCTGCAACGTGAGCTTGGAGGTGCAGGAGTTACCTGTGCTGGCTGTGCAGTGAAGAGCTCCCACTTGTCGTGGGCAGGACAGGCTGTGACACGGGCAGAGGCAGCCTCCTGCATGAGTTGTCCACTGCACACCCTGCGTTTTCTAGGGAGCCGTTTTGGTTTAGCACTTTGTTACTGAACTGCTTCTTGTTGCAGGGAGTGTTGTGCAGTGTGGTGCAAAGCTGGAGTCTCCATCGCACTCAGGATGCCCGGTTTGTGTTTGTAACTGGCTTAAAGGGATGAAGGTGGGATTTTCACTGGAAAACAGGCACCACCTGCAGACTGGGACAGGTGCCTGGGATCTGCCCTGAGAACAGAGAATCCTCTTGAGGTAAAAGTGTCTGGGCACGTGCATCAGCAATTTTCTCTCCAGAGATGCAACTAGTCCCACAGTAGCTGTGGAAGGAAAGCTGGGAATTACATCTTAGCCCATAAGCGAGGCCCATCCCTGTAGAGGTGGGTTCTTCTGTGTTGATGCCATGAGCAGCCCAGAGCCCACCCTCACCCTACCACTCTCTGTGAAGGGCAGCAGGAAGTCCATCATTGCTGCTGCCAGGATCCTGAACTGCTCCATATGAGGTAGATGTCCCAGGTTGATACCATCTGTTTGTTTGGATATCTTGTTTTCTTAGGGCAGCCCAAGCACAGCATGCAATTTGATGAGGTAAAGGCAGGGGTCAGTTCCTAAAGAGCTGCTTTCTGTAGTGACTTTGCATCTGGGTGAAAAAGGCAAAGAATCGGAGCCCCTCCTGAAGAGTGAGAGGAAAAGCTCTTCCCCAGTGTGACCTTTGAAGGGAGTTAACCTACCAGGCTGCAGAAGGACAGATGCTGCTCTCTGCACGTGCCCCAAAAGTAAAACTCTCTGTAAGCAACCCTGCCTGCCTGTGGGAGCAGAAACCAGACCCTTCCACCCTGAGAGCCGTGAGGGAATCTGAGTGCTTGTCAGGGAAGACTGAAGCAGTTGAGTGCTGGAGATGGTGGGTTCTGGTTTGGAAGCTTTAACCTGGAGGGCTTATCCCTGGAGTTGCTCAGAACTGGCAGTGCCAGCGCTGCTCTGGTCATTTCTCTGCAGTGAGCTGGAGCTGCTGCACCAGGGATTAGAGTCCCGAGGGGCTCTGTGTGACACCAGTTACTCCATGTACCTCTTGCTGTGTATTTCTCTAAAATAGAACCTTCCCTTCACCTGATCCTGCTGTCACCTTTTGGGCACCCAGTTCTCTGGTTCAAGTGACCAGAGATGGGTGAGTCAGAGATCAGGCAATAGCTGTGGCTTTCACAATCTAAACTGGGTACTCCTTAGCTTTTCTGCCTCGTTTTACCTGTAGCATGGAAACTGTTTCCTCCCAGAGGTGATCCCCCTGTGTTCAGTGTGCAGTTGGGTGCTGATGCTGCCCCAGCAGCGGTCACCTGCATGGCAGGAGCCCCAGCAACAGTCCCTGGTACCCTGGCAGTGATGGTTGGAGCAGGGGCAATGCCTCAGACAGGGGAGAACTGGCCAGGGAAGGATGGTCTGAAGGGGAGGGTGATCATGGGGGAATGGAGGCTGCATCCTCTCTGCTACTGAGGACGGGACAGCCTCCACCTCCCCATAAGCACCTCCCCTTCAGCTTTGGATGTGCTTCCTTTAGCTTCAGACAATCTGGAGCAGCCTGCACCGTGCCTCCAGTGCCACTGGCTGTGTGTCCCTGGCCCAGGCTGCTGAGCAGAACCTGCTGCCCCCCGATGGCTTCATGCACCGTGTCCAGGGCGGTCCCATTGACAGTTGTGCTGATGACACTAAACGCACATGAGGTGGTGCTTGGAGGGAGGTGAGGGCTCTGCAAGACTCGAGTAAACTTAATTCACGTCACCGCAGTGTAGCACGCCTGGAATGCGTTGTCCTGTGTCTGTCTGTGCCCCATGTTTGGTCTTCACACGTGGTGTGCCTGGATCCGTCATCTCAGAAGTGCCCAAGCACGAGCCTGCCGCTCATCTCGTTCCTTCAGTGCCTGTTCAGTTTGCCTGGAGCAGTCCCACATCCAGCAGGGTTTGAGTTCTGTTTACAGTGGACTGTCACTTTTGTTTTTATCTTGCTCTATGTGGAGGTAACATGTCTGATATTACTGTGAATATCAAGAGTCTCCTGTATATAATTAACCAATAAACTAGATTGCATTTTACTGTGGTGGGTATGTGCTTCGGAAACATTCCTCAATGCAGAGATGGCAGCTGAAGTGGGGGCTGGCAGCTCCCACCACAGCATTCAGAGAGTGATTGGGAGTCACAGAATCCCAGCCTGGTTTGTGTTGGACGGGACCTTAAAGCTCCACCAGCTCCAACCCCTGCCACGGGCAGGGACCCCTTCCACTGGAGCAGCTTGTTCCAAGCCCCTGTGTCCAACCTGGCCTTGAACACTGCCAGGGATGGGGCAGCCACAGCTTCTCTGGGCACCCTGTGCCAGCGCCTCAGCACCCTCACAGGGAAGAGCTTCTGCCTAAGAGCTCAGCTCAGTCTCCCCTCGGGCAGGTTCAAGCCATTCCCCTTGGCCTGTCCCTACAGGCCCTTGTCCCAAGCCCCTCTCCAGGTTTCCTGCAGCCCCTTTAGGCACTGGAGCTGCTCTGAGGTCTCCCCTTCAGGAGCCTTCTCTTCTCCAGGCTGCCCCAGCCCAGCTCTCTCAGCCTGGCTCCAGAGCAGAGCTGCTCCAGCCCTCGCAGCATCTTCATGGCCTCCTCTGGACTTGCTCCAACAGCTCCACGTCCCTCTTGTGCTGCTGCCCCAGAGCTGGATCAGGGCTGCAGCGGGGGGTCTCCCCAGAGCACAGCAGAGGGGCAGGATCCCCTCCCTGAGCTGCTGCTCACGCTCTGGGGGTGCAGCCCAGCACACGGTGGGGTTCTGGGCTCAAGCACTCACTGAATCTGGATCATGGGAAGCTTCTCATCAACCAACACCCCCAAGTCCTTCTCAGGGCTGCTCCATCCCTTCATCTCCCAGCCCGTGCTTGTGCTTGGGATTGCCCTGACTCACGTGAAGGTTTGTAGCACCCTGGTACCTTCTCCTTAGCTGGGTCACCAGCTCACAGGGTGAAGGTTTAAACAAACTCCATTCACCGTCTCCACTTCTAAAGCCACTAAACCAAAAGGTCCCCAGCAGTCCCATCTCCAGCGGTTGTGTTTCACCTCCAGACTGCACCACACACGGGCACACACAGCGCAGGGCACACCGGTGTTTCCCCCGCGGCCATTTACAGCAGCTCGTGTGGTTATTATTTAACGATAATAATAAAAAAGGACATATTTATTTAAACACGACCCTTGCCAAGGGGCGCTCACGGGCGCGTTCACCACAGACCGGAGAGCGCGGCTGCTGTGGGCCCGGCCCCGCCGTTAGAACTCGAACGTGCCGAAGTGCGCGGCGCGGCCGCCGGCCTTGGGCTGCGGCTTGTACCCGATGCGGTCATTGATCATCTGCTCCCGACTCTTGTGGTCGCTGCCCAGCGCCGCCGCCGTCGCCGCTTCCTCACCGGCCGCCGCCGCGTCCGCGTCCTCCCGCTGCTTCCTGCGGCCCTGCGGGGCAGAGGGGCCGCGTCAGGGCGATCCCGAGCGGGCGGAGGGGAGGCGTGGATCCGTGTCCCGTCGCGGAGGCCCCGCTCGCACCTCCAGATCCTTCCGGATGCTCTCAAACTCCTCGATGTCGTCCAGCTTCAGCTCCAGCCGCGTCGGCTTCCGCCGCAGCATCGCCACCGCCGCCGCGGGCCCAGCCCTCCAAGGCCACACCTCCCGGCGTGCTCTGCGTGCCCCAGGCCTCACCTACCGGTGTGCATTGCACACCCCCCCCCCCGGACTACACCTCCCAGCGTGCCTTGCGTGGCCCCAGACCATTTCTCCCGACGTGCCCTGCGAGCCCCGCCGCTAGCGGCTACTGCGCTTCCCGACGTGCCCCGCGTCCCCCGGAAGTGATCGTGAGGCGCCGGAGCCTGAGCACCGTGCTGCTGCCGTTCCCGGTTCCCGTTGCCGCCGCCATGGCCTCCGCTCGGGCCCCGGCAGCGCGAGGTGGCGCCCGCCCGCTCGTGCGGGCCCCCGCGCCTGCAGAGGTGGGTGTCTGCTTCAGGCGGGGAGGGCGGCGGCGGCGCTGGGCCCGTTACCGCACGGCAGCGGGGCCGCGCCGGGGGCTCGTGTGTGCTGGTGCGGCCTGCGGGGTTCGCCGCGGCCGGAGCTCCCCCAGCCGCGTTTGTGGGCGATTTCTTGGGGTCCTCGGATTCTTTCCGGGATGTTTGTTCGAGTCCCCTCTTCCGGGAGCAGGAATCGGTCACCCGCCCCCTCCCTCCACGTGCGGAGCGGCCCCGAGCGCCGGCGGCGGCGTCGCCTCCTTCCTGAGCGGCATGGGGCAAAGCCCCGAGCTGTAACGCTGTTGTTTTCATTGTAATCTAGAAAGCAGCCTTAAAAGTGAGGTCTGAGCAGGTCATAGTGAGCTGGAACACAACAGAGTCCAATTGCAGTGAAGTATTCAATGGGGCATTTTACTTCTGCCTTTGCACTTGGGCCAAAGCTGCTGCCTCAGACAAGAGTGTCCGGGCCTCATCAGAATGTCCCCACTGCCCTGCCCTGCACCCGGAGCTGTTTGCTGGGTCCTTGTCAGACAAAACACAAAGTTCTGCTTTTACCTTCCAGGCTACCAAGACCAAGGCTGCAGAAGAGAGCGATGCTCCTCCGGCCAAAAGAGCCCCCATCTTCTATGGCAGCCTTGAAGAGAAGGAGAGGGAGCGTTTGGCAAAGGGGGAATCGGGGCTGCTGGGGAAGGAGGGGATGAAAGCAGCAATCGAAGCTGGAAACATCAACATTAGCAGTGGTGAGAATATTGACCCATGTTCTGCAGTGTGACACTTTCAAAAGGCTGTGATCAGCTTTTAGGATAACTTAAAGTCAAACCCATGAGGCTTTTGCCTGGACCAGTAGCTCT